CTGCGGGTGCTCAGCTGCCCTGAAGATTCTTTAGTACCTTCTTTATTATCTTCTGAAGATACTGGGCAGCAATGTTCCCACGTTCTTCATGCCTCGAGTGTTGAGTTGGCAGCACATGCGCACAGTCAACTTCAGTACCAGCCAGCGCTTTTAAAATTCAAAATCCCGAGCTAGAATTCTTGAGTTGCCTCATTGCCCCCACACAATCCTTCCCCAGGCCGACGCTGCTTTCTGAAGTACATTCGCCCACTAAATCGCCTCTGTGGCCAATGTAGGTCTCGACGCTCACAGAACGGCGGGCTCTGTCCAAAATTCAGGTCGTATTGTGGAAGGAGCGGCGGCCCTAAGGACGGTTCAAAATCCCCAGACCTGCAAGGCTCCCCAAACACCCAGCGCAAAACTATCACCCATCAAAACTTGAGCGCCGGCAGCTCCGGCTGCGCCTATTCCACGTGCTGTGCGCTCCACGACGCAAAGAACGCCTTCGAGCCATCGGGGTCCGGCTTGACGGTGTCGTCTCCAGGTTTCCAGTTTGCTGCAAAGGCAACACAGAACAGAATTTGAGACCATCGCTGACGGGAAGCAGCAAAGGAATCGCGGCGCTGTGAAATGGCGAATAAAAATCAAAAAATCAAGAAATTTACCACCCTAAAGGACTGTCTGAACCCTGAGAAATCAAGACACGCAGCAGTCAATCAGCAAACCGCAGGTCCCTCCCTTCACACCATTCTGTGGCCACAGAATTCACTTCCGAGATCGAGATAGGAAATGGTAGTCAGGGGTTTACAAACTTGTCTGCGCTCGGAAAGCTGTTTGACATTCAGACAGCATGTGGACCTTGGACAAAAACAGGTGCCAGTTTTGACGCAGAGAAGCAGTCGCGCTGAGATGCAAGTGTCGGGCTGCTCCTCACACAGATGTCGCGTGCACCGCAAAACAGTCAACCGTCCTGCTTGGGACCATCACCCTGCATTGTTTGAAGCTGTCCAAGAGATACCTATCTCTCTCTTTGTGACCAGAGTGACAACCCGACATCATTGGCCGTTGCCTGAGCTTTGGAATCAACAATTCTAGAGTGGATCTCTGTTATTGAGTGTGTGTCAGCTTCCAACCTGGGCAGCCCTCTCCATGTTCGTCAGCATACTGGAAAGCTTGCACCAGACGCACAACCTCGTCCACGTTCCTCCCCACAGACTCATCGTTCACCTGTGTGGACCTGCTCCATGGAAAGCTGTCTTTTAGCTGAAAGAAACTCGTCATAAGTGCAAAACCCTTCCTGATCAAGAACCTCATCGTGACTTTTCATCCATGGTGCACAAGATGATACAGGCGTCTTGATGTGCAGCACAGCAGCCTCTTTTCTGTTAAGAGTCATTCTCTTCTGCTAGCGCGCATGTCTTCTGTTGGCAGATGGACAGGACTGATGAAGATGACATAACAGGCTTGAATACCAAGGAAGGAACAACATGCACCCAAGAGTAGCACGAATAGCAGGCGGGTAAGGTCACACAACACACCCCCTGAGCTGCAGTTGCTCAAGTTCCAAATCCCCTGGGGTGGGGGTGGGGGTAAGACCTCACTCCACTTGACATGAACTTCGAACCTTATGGTCCCATTTGGATCGATGAGGAATATGCCCCTGAGGGCGGCACCATACAGCACATCGTCCTCGTCCTCTACAAGCACTCCATAGTTGTAGCTGATCCGCTTGCTTATGTCTGCCTGAGCAGTGGAACAGCAAGACACAGATCAGGTGCCAAGCCAAAGCAACCACACGTTGCAGTGTTGTAAACCCCATTGCATTGGGGACAGCTAGCAGTAGTGGCCGGCAAAGGCATCATCCGAATAGTGCTGCAGTATTGCTGCTGAAACCTTAGTCTTCTGAGTGAAGACATATGCTCTTTGGTGCCAGATGTCTGCAGCAATTCGCAGGCCAGACCGCTGAAGAGCTTATAGTTTCAGCTGAGAGAATACAGCATCAATACAATGTAGCTCACGACTTTCTTCAGCAACGAAAGGGAGTTGGTGGAAATATCAACAAATGTGCTGAAAGAACAAGCAATTGTGAATACGGACAGCAACAATTGACACACCATGGGCATAAGGAAAGTGATTGGCCATGTTTGGACAAATTCATTCAGAGTTTATTCGTGCATTGGACATGGGATAGCAAGCCGAAAATCAGGCATGACAAACTAGCACTGGCTGGCAGTTTTCATTTCAACAACGCAGACAACAGGTCACAAAGAAGGATATGTCCCCCTCTCTGCACAAGACCTTTGCAGACTCTGTTCCTCAACAAATTTAACAAACATCAGCTCTTGATCCTCATCCATACATGTGTGCTTATCAGAGCCTGGGCATGGCTTACATGATTCAAGCGCAGCAATCTGAAACTTCCTTGATTAGTACAATCGGTGTCTATTCGTGCCTGGCACAACCAGGCTCACAAGACATAGATGGATGTGCTAAAGGGGAAAAAGAGCAATGACACAAAACAATACCTCTGCTCACCACAAGAGGGAAGTTCACAGCCCCCAGGCCGCCTTGGTTTCTGGGTGTGCGCACCCACGCAAGGTGAGTGTGGTGGCTGTCTGTTGAGATGGCAACCACCTGCAGCCCATCACAAGATGGCATTAGGAAGCTGAGGAATGGGGCTGGCACTGGGCCACTGGCCCAGCATTTTGCAACTCATGAGGCAGAGCAACCAAACTGCCAATGAACAACTGCCAACAACCTTTCTGGCAATTATGCCACTCGTCATCGACAATAGCTCTGTAACGAAAATCTCCCAATAGCTGGGTGCACATTGGAATGGGCAAGGTGCAGAAGCCTGTTCCCGTTCTCCACGATCACATCAACATGCAACATTCGCAGTACAGAAAAGGATGCATGATCTATAAGAAAACGCTGTGCATTTTGGGCTTCCTTGCTTGAATCTCGATCTGGGAGGTGAGTGGCATTGTCTGTGTTTCTTTGATGAATTCATAGTTTGCTGGACTGCCACAACCAGGGGCTCCACATCAAATCCAGACACATACAAAACGATGCAATAGTGCAATGACAGGTGTGCAAGTGCACACCCACCACAACCCTCATGATAAGGCTAGCTGGTGGCACCAGCACCTGGAGCTAGCAACAAGGCTTTCGGTTGCACATCAACCCAGTCTCGCAAACCTTGGGGCGCCCAGGCACGAAAATCGATGCCATGGGAACAATCTGTGAACTGATGCGTTACCTGAGAGCCAATACTTAACCAAAGTTACACACCACAAACACCCAATATCATGAGTGGCTGCACCATGCAAGAAATGCTATGGTATCTTCACTGAAGGCTGCAATTGTTTTACCAGTCACTGTGCCTTGAACTCCTCAGCCAAACAGCCAAAGGAATTGCACCTTCAGCAAAGGGCTAAGTTGCCAACTCAAGCAGTCGGTGACGGCACCAGCACGCCAGAACCACCCCCAAGATTCGTCACTTGGACGAAAGTTTGGCCCCTGGCCTGGGCCCACAGCGTCGCGCGATGGCTATGTGCCCGGATCGCTCGCCCACCTTCGTGTTCACGGCCGCAAACTTCTCCGATGCCTCGCTGAATGCCACCAGCTGCACCCGCGCACAAATGCCACGTCATCACAATCAGCCCAACGGCACCGGAGGGCGCCGCCCGTGGGGGGCGCCCCGGCGCCAGCGGCGCGGCGCGCCACCCCCCCGGCGCGAAGATCGCGACGGCGCGCATCCCCGCACTTGTCCCCGCCCTTCATTCTCTTCCCCCCAGCTTGCCCAGATGCAGTTTCTTCATCCCACGACAGAACAACGCCGCTTGTGACTCCAAGGAAGATCCCCGCTCCCCAAAACCAGCCCCTTGGATCTTCCCTGGCAGCAGGCGTCAAGCGGCGCGGCTGCCCGCAAACGGGATGCAACCGACCTCCGTGGGGCACACGAAGGTGAAGTCGAACGGGTAGAACAGCAGCACCAGCCACTTGCCCAGGTAGTCCGACACGGACACCGTCTCGAACTTCTCCCCCACGACGGCGGTGGCGGTGAAGTTGGGCGCCGGCCTGCGGGGCACCAGGGCGCCGGGGCCGCGCGGCGCCCCCCAGAAGGTCTCCCCGCTGGGAGACTGGCTGGCCGACGCCAAGATGAGCGGGAGGCAGGCGAGAAAGGAGATGGTGATGGGTCGGGCGGCGCCCATGGCGACCCGGTGTGGGCACAAGGCCTGGTGGAGAAACAGGAGGAGGGGCAAGGGGGGAGGGAGGGTGTGGTGCGGGGCGCAGGGGGGGGGACTCCGGCCGGGCCTAAGGTTGGTACGCTTGGACCAGGGTGCGCGCGAGTTTTTTTCACCGGTATTTTGGGGGTGGGAACTGAATGTTACAATTGACTACATGTTCTCCCAAACGACAATCGGCAATAGTTCCTCTACCGGTTGAGTCAAAACCAGGTATGTTCTGTTGAAGCGGTGCCCAGAAGGGCAACAGATTCTGTCGGCCTTCAAAGTCGAGTTGCACCTAAAACGAAGTCCACCAACCTGCCACCATAAGCACAGATATTTGCTGCACATTTGTGAGCAGATTTACAATCCAAAAGAAGCCAAATCCGAAGTCTGTCTGCACAAGTTTCAAAACAGCGCTGAACTCCGACTCCTTTGCCATGGTGGCTCAGAGCTGCGGGACTCCGGGCATCGAAATTCGGGCCCGCGTGCGCTGCCCCATGTCCGACCGCCGGCCCGCGTCCGACCCCAACCACCGTCATCATCGTCAAGAAATATGTCAGCCCCGGTCACCGCCTCCTGGCCGAGTCCCCCCGGCCTCTTGGGGCCCACATTTCCCCAGCACCACCTCTCCCCCCCCTGGCCACCATGCGGCCCAACGCCCTCGCCCTCGCCCTGACGCTCGCCTCCCTGCTGCCCTCTCCTGCGCGCCCCCGCCCGGATCCCTTCAGCGAATCGCCCGTCCCGCCGGGCGCCATCTTCATCAACCTCGTGGTGGAGTCCAGCGGCGCGTGCCTGGGCTTTGACCCCGACGGCGACGGTGCGATAACGGCGGCATGCGCATCCCAAGGCGAGGGTTCAGTTTCCCAGCGCTGGTTCGTTTTGGGCGACAGCATCCGCAGCGCGGCCAACGGGCTGTGCGTGACCGTCACAAACCAATCAGCAGCAACTGGAAGACCCGGGGGAAGATTTGGAGGCGGTTTTTCTGATGACGATTCTGTTGATGGGCGCCCGGCAAACACTGGAAGGCCCAGGGAGCGATTCGGAGGCCGTTTTTTTGAGGGCGATCTTTTTGATGGGCGTCAATCGTCAAATACCGGTCGGCCTGCGGAGAGACTTGGAGGCGAAGATTTTGATGGCGACCTTTTTGAAGAGCGAAGGGTGTTTTTGGCGCCTTGCGGCGGGGAGGGCGGGGCCCAGGGGTGGTCCTCAAGGCGGGAGGAGGCGGCCGTGGCGCTGGTGTCGTCGGGCGGGGGCTGCCTGACGGCATGTCCGTCGGGAGGGGAGGTTGTAGGGGAGGGCTGCAGCGGCGGGGCGGACCAGCGGTGGTTCGCGCGCATCGCGGGCGGGCGCGATTCGATCGATGGGCAGGCGATCGCGGTGGGAGAGGTTTAAGGGGCCGGGGTGAGGTCGTCGCCGGGCGGCGTGCTGTGAGGTAAGATTTGTTGCAAAGAGAAAGGTTCATGCGAAAGGCGCCCCCTCCTGAACTGGGGATGCTCGCGGCCGGGAGTGGCAGTGGCGGTAGGAGGGACGCGGGGGTCGGCGTGGACGGGGGGAACTGTGGAGAGGGCCATGGGCCAGGCTTCGGGTTTGCGGCTGGGGCTCACCGCCTCTGCTGCGCCTGGCGAGGCTGGGCAAGTACGTTGGCGCTTCGATGGCGTGTTGCTGTACATCTGGGGCGTGCTCCGGACCTTGGGGCACATCTTGGGGACTGCGGTGGTGGGACCGCGCTGGGGGGTTCGTGAGAGATGCGTGCTTGATGCGCGGCGTGCCATTCATGCGCATCGCGCTGGGGATTTCGGAACCTTCTCGAAGGGAACGGCGGGCCGGTATTGTGTACATTAACGGCGGCCGGCAATCTTTGTACTTGTAAGAACATCCGAGAGCCACGCCGGGGGTGGGGTGTGTTGCCGTTGGTTTGGGGGGCGCACGCATGTGGGTTTTGTGTACCGTCGGGGAGCCCTGTAACAACACCGTGGACGATGCTCTGGTCAGGCAGTGCTTGTGTGGCGTGTCCTGCCGCTGGGTGACTGGGAGCGTTGACTGCTGTCTCCACATTCTCTCTGCCCAAACTTTGGACAAACGTTTGTAGGGCGAGCTCCCTAGTGGCGTGGACCTCTGACCCTCCGAACACTATGCGACGCGTGACAATACCTTGTTGCGGTTCCACGCTGGGAACGACACATTTTGTATTACATGTCTTTCTGTCAGGGATGCACTCACAGTCACACACTGTGGTGCCACCATGAACGCCACTGCCAGGAAGAAAATTCCACGGTTCCCTCCATCATGTGGATACCCGTGGAAGGCATGGCTTCGGAGGGTGATCCCTGTGTCGCTTCACTCTCAATGTTGGTGGCTTGCTCAGAGCTGCAATGCAGAAAATAAGCACAACACATTCTGCCCAGGATGGGGTCCTCCGAAGCATGACAAGTTTACCGCATTTGAAAACGCACCTTACAATACGCGTGTGGAACAGGCACAAGGTACCTTGGCACAATGGAGCGGCAAGCGAGATTTCTTACAAGCCGATAGTCCACCACCCTTTACGGTACAAGTAGCAGCGCCACCCCAGGCAGTGGGGATCTTTCCAACGCACACATCACACTGCCATCCCGCAAGAATCCTATTTCAATCATTTCGTTCAATATCAAATCGGCGTCGTTGGGATGGCCAGATCCCGACAGGCGCCCAGCGTCCTGCAGCCATCCTTCGGACTGTCCAGTGGCAATGTCCCCCAGCGAGGATCAATCGCTGCACCGCCATTTGCCAGACCATTCCTGCCTCTGTGTCATGCCCGCTAACCATACAAATCCCTACCTGGCGCTCTTCAACCGCCACCATGGCAGGATCCCCCTCTTCATCAAAGCAGCTACCCGTGCCACAGCTTTCTCACCCCTTCGCATGGCGCCGGCTGGGAACAACAGCAAACATGGGCGCCGCTGAACGGGATGTCATGCACACTAGGCCGTCTGGGCAAGAAAACGGGCCTTGGGGCCCGTCCTGGGGCTACCCAAACCTACACGCCGAACCTACATGGCGTAAGCTGGACCTCTGCCCTTGACGGCCAGACCCGGTATGCCCCTGGGAAGGGAGTCCGCAGACTTGTCGCAGAACTTGGCAGGTGCGTAGGCCACCACGGTACGGCTGGGCGCGTAGATCTGCAAGGAGGCTGGCCGCCCGTCGTGCTCCATGGTGCCGGCGACGAACGTGACGTCGTTATCCTTGGAGGCGTTCTGGTAGCCGCCGAAGACGGGCTCGTCGCTGGACAGCACGATCTGCACGAACACGCATGGTGGGCGGTTGGGACCCGGGAGGCGTTGAAGTGATGGATCAAACGGTGGGAACGGTGCCATGGTACGTGCACAAGCAACCATCTCGAATATATCAAGTGGTATGAAATGAATATATGAAGTGAATGAACATAGGAATATATGAAGTGGAATGAAATGGGACAGAAGCGAATAAATCAGGAAGTTTCGAAACCAGGTCAACTGCACAATGTCGTTTAACCCCGGGCAAGACAATCAAGAAATGCAAGGCGAAATGAAACCAGGGTAGCGACACCACCGTGCTAAAACTCTGTTTAGGGGCAGCGGATAAAATGACGACAACAAAGAAGGCGTGAGATCACATGTCACCTACAACAAGCAAAACAATAACTGACAGGCGCGCTGCTCACTTTGTAATCTCCGGGCGCCTTGCAGCCCACACGGTAGTCCGTGTAGCTCTTCTCTGGGTGGAAGTTGAAGACGAAGACCAGCTCCCCGCGCTCCGCAACAACCACCTTGTCTCCCTCGTCCTTGCGGCTCACCCAGGTGTGCTCCGAATTGCTGAAACCGAAGGCCTTGTCCAGGTGGTTCATGGCGCGGTCGAACTTGTTCATGAACTTGTACTTGAGTTCCTCCGAATCCGCCAGGTCCCATCGGCGCCGGCATTTGTCTAGGCTGCCTCCGTTGCCTGGGGTGCAGACGGGTGTACACATGTCAGTCCGGGAGTCGATGGCCAGGGTTCCACAGCAATTCTCATGTGCTGTGGCTGCTGTACATCCTGCCACTCTGCCTGTAAAGCTGCATTCGTCCCTTCTGCTCTTCGAGGTTCGGCACTGCAAGCTTCATGCCCATATCGTTTTTCCTGCGCACATATCTTCTACGAGACGAAGTGAACATGAACATGCAAACGACCAGCGAAGGCCCATGTGCACGGTCGCTGCCTGAAAATCAGCGTTTTGCTTTTTTTGCTTTCGGCACTCTGCACCGCAAGCTTGAGTCCCACGTCGATTTCCTGTTGTGTTTATCTCCAATGGGGCACGGTGGGCATGAACAGACCAACGAGCCGTAACTGTCTGTGTGTCCTGTCCTACAATTCCAATACTGTAAAATACTCAACCCTTCCGCATTAGCAAATTTCACCATTATGCTTTTTGCTCCGCATTTTGCTCTTCAGAGCGTTATTTCTGTTTTCTTTTTACGTTGCCCCACACAGAAAGGCCAAGATTTGCGTTGCCATGCATGATATTTTCTCCCCGGAAAAAGACCAAACGTCACGTTACTGTGCGGAAGGGTTTAATATTGTACAGTACCTTATCTTACGACAGCTTCATCAACAAATTTCATGCCCACAGTGGTACCTGAACCAAAACGCTTTGAAATGTGACGTGACACTTTAGAAACGAAGAAGCAACGTCACTGCAGTGACTGCAGCGAGTGGATACCTGGCACAAACTTCCCAGTGGAGGGATCGGTGAAGTCGTCTCTTGGGAAGTCGATCCATTCTGGGTGTCCGAACTCATTGCCCATGAAATTTAAGTACGCCTCTCCACCCAGCGCCATGGTGATCAACCGAATCATCTTGTGCAGGGCGACGCCTCGATCGACCACGTGGCTGTTTGCACCGATGCTCTGGACAAAACATTTCAGCGGTCAGTGACAAGCGCCCCCACAGGGATCCTTGGACTTTGCTGATTTTTATTCCTTGTAAGTGCCAATCACAATAACAATTGTCATTCTAGCAAATCCTTGCAATCATAATTGCGCTCATAATTGCGCTTGTTGCATATGCTGACTGCGAGTGTGTGACACTCACGATGGCCATCGATACCACGTTTGCTTTGCTCAGGCTGCCGTAGAAGACTGTTGAGATTTCCTCACTTGCAGTACTACAGATGCTGTATGTTTGCTGTTTACTTGTCAAGTAAGTCGTCGCTATGTGGTGGGCACCACGACTGGTGTACAATCATCTAGCTACAAGCAAACACCCAGGCAAACAGCCTGGCACCGCCCAACAGGTTGAAAAGCAGCCATTTGCCATGCAGTCAAATTGCAAAGCAACTGCGACCTTCCAATGGTGTCCTGAAGTAAATTTAAAATAACAAAAGAATTGCAGCAGGCAAAGGAACAAGGCTGCTGCACACCCACTGACTTGATGCTGCACTCTCGCAAGAGTTCAATCGCCCCGCATCGCCAGTCTGATGAATAGGCTCTGCTTAGCCCACTTTTTGATGATGACATGAAAGTGAAAACTTGTGAATGAGAACAATGAAGTCCCAGATGCGCTCACCATGCAGTCATACATGTCCTTGTCCATGAGCCAGAAGGCGATCGTCTTGTCCCCAACCAGGGCCTGGTCGTGCGACTCGGCGTACGCCACACAGTCTTCAGCATACCTCCTGTTTTGCAGGGTGTGCACAATGTTGCCCATGTTCCAGGAGTAGTCGTCCTGTGTGCCCAGGATCTCTATCCACTTGTCAGCAATGGCCATCTGGAGTCGGTAGTCGAATCCCACACCGCCCTCGTGCCAGGGACGGCAGAAGGTCGGCATCCCAGAGACGTCCTCCCCTGGGCAGCCGCACAACACATGTGTACATAACTCCCTCCCTTCTCAGCGCTGTTCCTGTAGACCGCCAATTAATTCTATCTCTCCTATTTGTGTAAGCTGCACTGATGCTCGTTACATTGCGTACAAAGTAATATGGAGCGAACTGCTGCATCATTGCGTTACCAGTATATCGAATACAACAAATAGTAGGCATACATTAAGTAGGCATACTTGGCCTCACAACTGGCGCCAGCCTCAAAACCCCCATGATCAAGGATCCTGGTTTCAGGGTGACCCCATCGGGGTTGAGGCCCCAAATTGTGGACGTGTTGGAGGCTCATACCAATGGACGGAGGTAAATTGCAATTCTCAGTCGATTCCCATGAAATCAGGTTGACAATAACAGCAACTTGTTGATAGTCATGCCCTCAGTCCACAGCCCAGATACAAGTCGGACCAGAACGACCAGAAACTCACCAACAGTTATGCAGTTAGGGAATAGGTCATGCAACAGGTTGTTAACCAGTTGCAGGTACACGACGGCATCCACGTCGCAGTCCAGGCCAAAATACTGGTCGTAATTTCCCGTGAAATCCATCTGTAGCCCATGGTGGTGGTACATCATCGACGTGACGCCATCAAAGCGGTAGCCATCGAATTTGTACTCGTCCAACCACCATCGCGAGTTGGACAGCAGAAACCTGAGGGTCTCCCAGTTGCCTGTCAGGGAGCCCAAGGACAACAGATTATCCTCTCTGTACTACTTGAAAATGCAGGGGATATATTGCGTAAGTTTGTGCTGCCCCAGCACTGCAGTGGCAGCATCCCTGCAGGGCCAGCATCCCTGCACTGGCAGCATCCCTGCACGATGTGGGAGACAAGCAGAATGCGGTTTTTGAACAGAATTTGCAGACCTCGTTCAGTGCAGCCAGGGTGCTGCACACAAAGCCACCAAAAGTGGCACAACAGGGTCATGCCAGTGAGAATGTGCCACAGACGACGTGGCCATCACCCATGCAATCACTTCCAGTTGGGCACTTGTACACTATTGGGAGGTACAAAGGGCCAGCAATACCGCAGCGCAGTGCCCCAAAACTAGCCACAGCGTGGAGAAAGCAACTGCCAGACATTATGCAACAAACTGCAGTGACTACACCTTGTCTACAAACTGCACCTTGTCAACACTCTACACCTTGTCAACCTCTCCACCTTGTCAACCTCTACACCTTGTCTACAAACTGCAGATATGCAAAGGTGTCAATCCACTTGAACCATTACCAAACTGAGAAAACAACTCCACTTGTGCCATTGTGTGCAACAGCACCAACCACCTGCATTCTGTCTGGTTTATCATGTACAGATTATCATGGTTTCTAAACAATATCAATCCCAGGAATCGCTGTGCAGATGTGTGGCTTACCATAGTTGAAGAGCCTGCTGTCCCACATCCAGTGGTATCCCTTCCCGCCAGAGTGGAAGTACATCGAGTCTGACCCATCAAACATGTTGAGGCCATCCATGGTGTTCTTGGACGCATGTGAGTGCACGATGTCCATCAAGACGATGATGCCCATGCGATGGGCTTCGTCGATCAGCGCCTTGAGCTCATCGGGCGTGCCGAATCGGCTGCTGGCCTGTGCGCACAGCCAATGGGCCCCAGTTATAATTTCTTGTGCTTCTCAGAATTTGAAAGAATATGTTCTCACAATTCTCACGTGCTCTTGCTCTCTCACTTAGATATGCACAGTCGCAGATAGTTTCTGAACAGGGCTACTCATCACCAGCCAATGACACCGATCGTCTCTCTGGAGCAAGGTGCATCGCGATGCCTGTCTGTGCTGCATTTTTCCAACTGATACACCCCACTGCCAACAGGGTTCAACTGTCAGTGAGATGCACAGCTACAACATAGCTATGATGAAACCATCAATTCAATTGGCTGCTGTAGACACAGTAGCAAGACACAATGACAATCAAAATACACAGCTACAAAAAACACCCTGAAGTGAAAACGAATTAGCACACCAAGAATTGAGCCGTCCAACATCAAAGCAGTAAAATATCACCATGTTGAATTGAATCGAGTCAATAGAAAGTTGAAAATCAACAACTCTACAAGATCAAGTTCCCACCATCATCCTCACCGCAAAAAAGTTGGTGACATGGTACCCGAAGCTGCCGTAGTAGGCATGCTCCTGAATCGCCATGATCTGGATCGCATTATACCCTAGGCTGCGTATCCTTGGCAGCATCTCATCCTTGAACTCCAGGTAACTGTTGATCTTTGCCTCCTTGCTGGACATGCCAATGTGGCACTCATATATCCTCAAGTTGGCGGGCCTGTGACAAGATGATGGATGAGTTTCACTGTTATTGTTGCACACAGCCAGGCAGAACCCTTGCACCAAAATTTGGTATAAAAAATAGCATGCATCAGCAGCAACAGTAAAGAAGGACGATGCAGGCATCAGTAGTGGAGCATGCGCCTGGTCATAAGGTGTTGAGTTGGGATGCAAGCGTCAAGAGAAGCAAGGAAAGGCGCTCACGAGTCAGTGGGACAAAATCTGTAGTGAAAGGGCCAACCCTCTATCAGTAAACGTTGGGACAGCCACCCACACACCTCTCCCAGCCTTTTGAAAGTCATAATTCTCTTCAGTCCGACTCTAAACACACTTTATACCCAAATCTTTCCCATTTTCAGATCTTTGTGGTGCAAAACCTTTTCAGGAATTCCAACAGTGAACGTATCCTGCCCCCATTGAGGCCCCCTTCAGTTTCAAATCCCTGTGGCGTCGTTATTCCACTCACTTGTCCGGCCTGGGGTACTTGAACGTGTATGACTTTCCTTCCTCTATAACCCCAGGCACTCCCTTCTCAGGTGGCTCGTAGTACACTCCATTGAATTGCACCTCGTGCCACTCCTGCGTGGCCCATTTGATCCATGCTGGTATGCGCTCCACCCACTCACCAAAACATGTCTCTAACCTACACTTGATCTTTGACCTGCGCAGGCAGCCACTGGCATCAGAAAATAAGTATTTGAGAAATTGGGGTGTGGCCAATGCCAATGTTGAGATAATCTGGTGTCCATCCATTCGCGTGGAACATCTCCCAGATCTGTTTAGAACTGTCAGATGCTGCAAGACATGCATTATCTGTCATACATACAATACATCAAGCTGCCACACCAACATGCAAATCAAGTGTCAGACGGGACACCATGAGACAAAACGGGCAATACTGCCCAGCCGTATGTGCACCAAAGTATGACCAGCCCAGAAACCTGCAAGTCAAGCTGCTGTCAACGGCAACCCACCTGTGGGGGATTGCAGAGGTGCCATCAGGGCCGTCAGGGAGGAAGAGCTGCCAAACGCCAAATTCGTTCTTGATGGCCCAGTGCCTATCGTCTGGATTCCAGTTGTTGAACTCACCAAGCAAGCAAAGAGCCTGTTTGTGCCACGCGCACACACACACACACACACAAACACACTCAGCTCTTGATTTCTGGCGACTTGGTTGTGAAACATTCTTTCTGAACCAGTTTCTGGGATACACACCTATGAAATTTCTTGATACAATTTCTTGTTAATTGTTTTCTACTTTTCAAACCCAAATATCAGCAACTCATTTCGGCTTGTTCATTTTTTTCTGACAGCTGCTGATCAATCTGCAGTTCTACCCTGTTTACATTTTCACAAGGTAGACAAAAGGTCAGAATCTTGGACTGTTGTACACACAAACTAACATACAAATGATCAACAAATGCTAAAATGCAACGCAAATTGCAATTAATACAGCTGCATACCCACGACTTGCAACGTCAAAATGCTGACAACAGGGAGTTGAACACACACTCATCATTGTCCATGTTGACGGCAGGGCTGCTGGGCTACTGAAATAACCTGCTGGAAAGACTGTTCATGTGCAACGCCTCTAACTATGCAAAACATCACCGGCACAACAGGCGCGGGAAGACAGTGAACGGTGCCACAGCGACTGCAATCGGTACAGATGTACGACAAGGTCTTGCCTTTGCGCCTGGGGCCCACTCTCTGTACCAGATTCCCTTCTGGCCATCGTTCTCACCACGAGTGAAGCCATAGTATTTGTAGCCTTTAAGCACAAAGAAAATGTCACATACTCTTCACGTAAATGCAAACAACAAGCAAGAACACCTGCTGATCAGCAGGCAAGGACGTGCTTCCAAATCAACATTTCTAGATTGACTGCCAGTGTGGAGTTTTATCCTCACCAACCACAAGAATTTGATCCCATTGGTGCACAAGACCTCTCAATCTCATGATTGCAATTGCAGTGGGTGTAGCGCTCTGGTGGATGGAATGACCTGTCCATATCAAGTCTCTGTGATCGGTCTCAGTTCGTAAGATTTGGTGTCACCTTGGCTAAACTTGTCCAAGCCACCTTCGTTCATATCAATGTTGTGCCGAATCTTCTTGAAAAGGCCAAATCGGTACTGCAAACCAGCACAAAAGCATTCAGAGGCTTGCCACCCCAGGGTGAACAACAACCACCACTTGACAGCAAGCAAGACAAAGGAGAATCGCTTCGGCAGCATCACCCTCAACATCTACCAGGAATGTCCACATGGCAAGCCTATCATGAACAGGAAAGGGATAGCAAAAGCAAAATCTGAACCAGCGAAACACAGCGAATGGATCATCGAAGACTAAGGGAACGGTGTGGCCTTGTTGACGAATGGCGCTGCTCACCATTGTAGAAATGCAGTCTAACGGGACAATCATAGAATTCCATTCATCCACACCAATGTAGCGGTACACAGTGATCACTGCCAACCGCACTGCGGAACAGCAGTGGCAAAATGGTCTCGACTGCATTTCTGATCATTTCAACGTATCCAGGCATTGTCCCACGTTTAGATGCATCACCCCACTGCGAGCTGGGCTGGCAGTTCCTGCATTGTGATCAGAGCCATCCTCACCACCAGCATGACAGGATCACCAAGCCCATTTCCCTGTCACAGCCAGTTCATCATGCTACTCATCTACTTGGGACCTGCCACAATGGATGAAACCCCAAGATGGTGGCCGTCACTCCCTTACAACACTGAGAGCTTCCGCCTGGGGCCGCAAGGCAGCCCTTCTTCACAACCAGCAACTCGACATCAACGAATCAAATACGTCTCAAACACACGGCCAACGCAACAAATGGCGCCTCCATTACGATCAAACCACGAGCCAATCACGGTCCCCCAACACGGACAAACACCCCCAACGCCCCCCTCAGGCCCTGCCGGCCCCTTCCCCTCCCAAGCCGTCGCCTCGACGCGCCCCGCCCCACCTTGCAGTGCCTTGAAATTCCAAATTACTGATTACCTTGAAGTGGTCCGTGTGCGTGCTCAACGTGTTGTCCCATTGTATGCACTGCGTCCCGTCGTGCACCGGCGGGTCGGACAACTTCCCGTAGCGCTCCACGAACTCTCCACCAGCCCCAACCACCGGCGACCAGTAGTCGTCGGCCGAGACATCAGGGTCGTCCACGCTCTCCTCCTTCTCCTCGACCTCGTCCTTGGCGGTCGTCGCCTCGACGGAGGCGGAGGACGCCCCCCCCTGGGTGACCGCCTGGAGGGTGGACTTCAGGAGCTCGTTCTCCTTCTGCAGGAGGTCCGCCGCCGAGGAGATGCCGCCGTCGGGCTTGGAGGGCTTGGCGTGCAGCGGCGCGGGCGCGGGGCGGTACACTGCGGCCGCCAGGGGTAAGATTTGATGCAGAGGGGATGAGACAACAGGTCATGCAAAGGGCTCCCCGTCCTGAGCGACTGTGGCCGAGACTCTTTTCCATGCTGTGGAACGACGATGCAGAGTCTCCGGAGTGGTCGGAGGGGGCGAAGGGAGGAGAGGGCGGGATCAGGCTTCCGTATCCAAGGTCGAGTTCGGATCTGTTGCCGCAGGGCTTGGGGGCAAACGAGCGGGGCAGGGGGTGTCGACGTGGGAAAGGGCGTTGGGGGGTATTAGGAGCAGTAGGTGTGTGTGTGTATGTGTGGAGGGGGGAGCATGACTGGGGAGCAGGGCACTGGGCGATTGAGGGCGCAGAGCGAGAAAACTGCGGTTGCGGCGAAGGCAAGGCGGACGCCCGGCTCCGGAACGGAGCGCGCGGAAGGCGACGGCGCTCGGCAGGACTGAGATCGAGGCGGGGCGGCGCGGGGAGACGCCGAATGGCGCCACAAGTCCGCTGCGCCGGGATCGACGGCGCCGGGGGAGGCCTCTGGGGCCTTCCCGCGCGGCGACATTTCGCGCCAGATCCCAGACGGACAGGCCGACGCGCGGCCGCGGAACAACGGCGGCCGACGCGCGGAGATTCGACAGTAGGCTCGCCAGGATGCAGCGCCAGCGCGGCCGCATTCCCCACCGCCGGCTTCCGAGCTCAGGCCCCCCCCTGTCGCACGATCTGGCGAGCCCGCAGGTAGTCGCCTCCGCAAATCTTACGACCCCATCCGTTGATCCATCCGCCCTCCGGTAGACCACAATCAATCGCCGCCATTGCCTCCAAAGCGCGGGCGCTGGGTCCTCACAAGCTCACCGTTCGGCCTGCCGGGCACGGGCACGACTTGGTACACCATCCGCTTCATGCCGGCGACGCCATGGCCAGCCAGTCGCCCGCCGCGGCAGCCGCCCGCGAAGTTCTTTTCCATTCCAAGGGCGCCGCCCTGGCGCCACCGGCGCGTCTGGGGCCCACGAGTCCTCCTGGCGCCTCTGGTCGGAGCGGTCGGGCGAGGCGGACGGGGGAGCGGCCAGGGAGGAGTGTGGGTGGGGCGCCGTGGGTTAAGGGCGACGTGGCCCTCACGGGGTTTGGGAACGGACCTGGCGCCGATGAATGGGGGGCCTCGAGCGGGCCCGACCGCCCGATTGTCGGACGGCGGTGGGCGAATGGGGTTGGCGGTGGGCGGCCTCTGAGGGGCGTTATCCGTTTAGGAGAGGGGTGCGGAATGGGCCGCTCTGAGGTGTGTGCGACGGCGAATGTCAATGTGACGGCTACCTCATTGCCTTGTGTAAAGCAAGCACCGAGGTGCTGGCCCCCGGGATCATGACCCGCGGCTCGCCGCCGGCTGCCCTGGCGTGGTTGGCCCTGTTCAGTCCACCGCAAAATGACCAGCATTTACTGGCCACTTTTGCTTTCAAGGTGACTGATTATGCATAATCAAGGCGATGATACACTGCTGGGATGGCCCGAGTATGCCACCAGTGATAGATAAATAAGTGAGTTTCTGTGGGAGCTCTATGTCATTGAAAGGCCATGGATATGTCATGCCAATGCCATGGTTTGAGCATGCCGAGGCCATGGTTTGGGTGTGCCAGCGCCACGCTCACGTTATGAGTAAACAATGTCAGAAAGGGGACATCATCTAGGACATTCATCCTACGGATATTCTTGAGGATTCCAATCATGCAGACCGGCATTGTCATGTTATCTTCGATCAGTAATACATCAGATACTCCAGGGTCTATCATCAAGCTCGGACAAGGCTGCCGTCCAGTTTCGAGCATCATTGGGCCTTGCATTTTGGGCACGTTGTGGGAACGATCGCTCTCACTGAGGCCTGCCTTGTCACTACAACAGTTTGGGGTTTTCCGGGAAAGTACTAGGAGGCCATGACGATCGCGAAGGTCTATCCATTGGCGTTCTGGCGAACTGCGATCGCTGCATGGCCGGAGGCTGGCAGCGCCTTGCTGCGAGGGGGACACGGCACTGGAAGCAATACCAGGGATCCCGAGGCTGACAAGGTGATCGACAGGAACCTGGTTGTACATCGTTCCAAGGCTGAGAGGCCTGTTCGTGTCCAACGAGGGGAGCCAATCAAGACGGACAGGGAGGGACGGATGCGGCTGGGATCTTGGGAAGTGACAACGAGGACGAACTGACGGCATGACGGCACGACATCCCACTTTGAGGGCTGGAACGCAGGACTTGTGGCATGCCGCCGGCATGGCACAAGTATGGCCTGGGCATGCCACAAGGATGATCTTGGTAACTGATTGTGACTGATTTGGGACTGAAGTGATTTAGTAATTGTGAGGATAAGAAAAGGTGTATGAGTAGTTAAGTGAGAATGGGGACAGTGGGTAAGGTGTTTATTACGGTGACATGGAGAATGATGGGAGAAAGACATGAGCTGAACATGCTTGCGGTGAATGCTACATGACTGACAGAACCATTCTGTAATCCGTCTGGTTGCGGCTTGCTTCCCGTGCCTGGGAGCGACCGTGTGTGAGCGCGAGCGAGGAGCGCGAACAACGAAACCACCCGGCATGGTTTCGGAGCCCAGGTCGCGCCGGTCATGGAGACCGGCCTGGCGAGCCTGGTGGACGTGCTGGCTAGTGTTGCTGGCACTCGAACCGAGGATTGAGGTCGACCTCGGATCGACCTGCGGCGGTCTTGGCCGAGCGTTGAGCGGCCGAGATCGCCGCAAGTTATGGCGCAAGGTGCGGCAGTGGGAGATCTTCCACGCGCGGAGGACATTCGCCCACCGTTGGCGGAAGCGGGAGCGGTGGAGGTGGAGAGACACGGAGGATGCGGGAACGACCTCAAACTCCCTTCCGTTCAAAATGTCCCATTGCGCCATGCTATAAACCTATTAGGTAGCATATTTGCACAACGTCGATCCCACTATCGTGGAATATTGTTTCAATGTCATGTTAATAATTTCGCTGTATTTGGGCTGGTGCTGGCGGCACCCGCCACCATAAATATTATATTGATCTCAGCATTTTCGGTGCCTAAGCTTGCAGTTTCGCGGCAGAACCACAAGTGACGGTGTTGAAGGTGGCAGCGCGACTATACTTGCCACAGGGATCTGTGCAATATTACTACCAACCCCAAGCAAAACTACTTGCTCTAAAAGATACCCTAAATGCAGGCCTTTTTGAGACATAACACTTCCATCGCATCTGTGATTGTCTGCCTCTAAAGTTTCCTACAGGTGCGGTTATGTTACAACTCTTTGACATAAAATGGCTGAGGTATCAAACCTGGCGAACGACGGCGGTAGTACATTGTAATGTTGGCAGTCAAGTCACTGGCGGCTCTGGCGGCCTACTGGCGGTTCCGCCATGGCGGAACCGTATCAACTGGCTAAACGTTGGTTACAGCCTGGTGCCCGCCACTGGATGTGAACTTGCCCCCGCGACTGCTCCCCAAGGCATGGTGTCGGCCAAGCGACAACTTGTATGCAATGCATACACACAGGATGCTCACAATACTGTGATGCCATCACAAAGTGTGAAGATGAGATAAAACACACACAGGGTCTCGGCACAAGAATATTACAAGTATTGTACAACCCAAGAAGATTACGCCTGTGCTAATCCCCGCCAGGATCTGTGGAATGAAGGCGGGGAAGCTCCCGCCTTAGACACTCCCGCCAACATGACCGTAAGTGGCCATCTCCTCCCACCCACTGCTCATTCACCACTGCCGTCCAAGGGATGACCTCCTTTTGGCCCGTAAGGAACCACGGGAGGTTTAGTTGGACTTCTTCACTGATGAAGGGAGGGTTGTCGGGGTCACAGTTCTCCACAACGCCTTCACAAGCGTAGTACTGCACTTCAAAGTGGCGCACGTCGTATCCGTTTTCTTCACTGGGGTCGAATACCCTGGTGACTTTGGCGATGTCAAACACCCGGGCCCAGGCATCGGCGTCTTCGTCTGCCATCCGAATGGCGACAGTCACCCCGGGGGCAACGTCGTGCTCTGGTCGGAACGGTCTCACGTCGGCAGGTCTTGGGGCCCTGTGTGAGTGACCAAAGAACATTGCACGCTCCCCTGGGATGGGGCCCACGTCCCTGTACAATGGGCGGGTAGAACTAGTCAGTAACCGCATGCCACATTGGGAGTCAAACCACAACACTGATATCAAAGGTTGGACGTTACCAAAGGGGCAAATGGGAAGAAACATACAACATGCAGTACAGACCAAGACCACGCAATGGCAGCCCCCGGGGCGGAGATGCCACGCAGGCAGTGTGCTGAAGGTCATTTATACAAAGGCAGGGTGTTTGTGCACGACAGATGAGATGATGGGCCCAAAGGTTTTTTTATGGATATGAAACAATGTGGCAGAGGTGGTATGTTGTGCACAAAAACCATCACACCTTTCCACTACGGGACCAAGCTCAGTGGTGGGCCCCTGGCTAGGCACGGGCAAAAGGTCGTCCTCGTCCCCGCGGCCACACTCTGCCACCCTGAGGGATCCTCCCACTCGGTCGTCGACGTCCCCTTCCGGAAAGGTGGACCTGTGGTCCTCAATAAAGGCTTCCCACCACCGTATGGCATGGACGTAACGCGCCCTTAGGTCGGTGGCAGGCCCCTCCTCGCCGGACAAACCAGCTGTGGAGGCAAGTAGGCTTCTGAGCTTGCCGACGAACTTCAGTGCCCTCTCTCGTATCCCAGCGCATTGTTGGAGCGGCGTCCTTGGCTCCAGAGATAGGCTATCGAAGGAGGGTATCACAGCATCCTCAAGGAACACTGGCCACCCGCCGCCCTCTGGCCGCCCCACCCAGGCCTGGCCGGGCAAGTCGTGTTCTCTACCGTACACCACAGGGCGGCCACCCTCCATCCGGAAGAGGAATGCGTGGTAGCACCTATCATTGCAATCCGTGATGTCACACTTAGGACAGCAAGAAATTGCTCGGTTTGGAGTTTAGAGGCAAAACCGAAATCTGACCGAGGTGCACCTGGCGCAGCTATGGCACAAAAGGGAGCAAGCCCTCCTTGCAAAAATATATTCATGTCCAGGTACACTGCCCCCCTTTTGGCACAGTGACGGTTCCACGATGGAGGAACCGTCAGTGTCCCAAGAATGGCGATTGCTCCGAACACGTATGGCCCCCTTTTGTCACAGCTGCGGTTCCGCGATCGCGGAATTGTCAATGCAACAAAAACGGCGACCTCAACGAAATTGCAAGGCCACCTTACGTCAAGTGAACGGTTCCGCGATCGCGGAACCGTCAATGCAACAAGAATGGGGGCCTCTCCGAGACAACAAGGCCATCTTTTGGCACACTTGCGGTTCCGCAATCGCGGAACCGTCAATGCAACAAGAACGAGGGTCTCTCCGAGACCACAAGGCCACCTTTTGGAACAGTTGCGGTTCCTCGATCGCGGAACCGTCAAAGCAAGGAGAATGGGGGTCTCTCCGATACCACATGGCCACCTTTTGGCACAAGTGCGGTTCCGCGATCGCGGAACCGTCAATTCAACAATAATGGGGGTCACTCCGAGACCACATGGCTACCTTTTGGCACAGGTGCGGTTCCGCGATCGCGGAACCGTCAAAGAAAGGAGAATGGGTGTCTCTCCGAGACAACATGGCCACCTTGTGGCACAGGTGCGGTTCCGCGATCGCGGAACCGTCAATGCAACAATAATGGGGGTCACTCCGAGACCACATGGCCACCTTCTGGCACACTTGCGGTTCCGCGATCGCGGAACCGTCAATGCAACAAGAACGAGGGTCTCTCCGAGACCACAAGGCCATCTTTTGGAACAGTTGCAGTTCCGCGATCGCGGAACCGTCAAAGCAAGGAGAATGGGGGTCTCTCCGAGACCACAAGGCCACCTTTTGGCACAGGT